TACAGGCTGCACAGTGGCGGGCTGTAAAAGAGCTAAAATGGAGGGGCCCACCATCCTGTCTTTGTTACAGCAGAGACCATCCCCTCCTTTCCTACATGCGAAACACTGTGTAGCAGGGCGGCCAGAGATGGGTAGAGTGAAAAGGGGGCTATAAAGGTGCCAGTAGGCGAGTGCCAAAAGGAATCGGGATGTAGAGAGCAACCTTGGGCAACCCAGGATTCTCTCTCAGTTTCTGGGGCAGAGTCTTGGAGCAGGGCGAAGTCAGTGAGGGACCAGGAGGGTAAGAGGAGAGCGGAGAACAAGGGAATCAGCCATTTCGACTAGGCGCTCTGCAGCAGCCACAGCACGCAGGCAGGGGGGTAAGCCTTGGGCAACAGGGTCTAAAGTGGCAGAGAAATAAGCCACTGGGCGGTTCTTTTCTCCGTGCATCTGAGTGAGAACTCCAAGTGCACACCCAGATTGTTCGTGGCAGAAAAGGGTAAAAGGCTTAGAATAGTCAGGCAGCCCTAAGGCAGGGGCAGAAGCCAAACCCTGTTTGAGGGAAACAAAGGCAGAATTGGCCTCAAGGCCACGGCATGGGGTCAGGCACAGAGAATCGAGTGAGTTCCTGGAGAGGTTTTGCAAGGGAGGCATATTGGGGAATCCATTGTCTGCAAAATCCAGCCATGCCTAAAAACTTCCGGACCTGGTGTGGGGAGCGAGGTCGGGGAAAGCTAAGGATAGCTTGGACGCGGGTGGGAGAAAGTGCACGGGAACCCTGGGAGAGGAGAAAGCCAAGGTATGTGACAGAAGCTTGACAGAGTTGTAGTTTAGAGCGAGAAGCTTTGTGACCCTTATTTGCTAGGGCAGTAAGGAGCACTGAAGAGTCAGTTTCAGAGGCAGACAATGAAGGGGAACAGAGGAGTAGATCATCTACATATTGGACTAGTGTGGACCTGGACGGGAAAACAAGGTCAGCAAGGTCTCGGGCTAATGCTTGGGAAAAATATGACGGGCTTTCAGTATACCCCTGGGGCAGTGTGGTCCATGTGTACTTTTGCCCCTTGTAAGAAAAGGCAAACAGGAACTGGGAGTCAGGGTGAACCTGGACAGAAAAGAAAGCAGAGCACAAACCAACAACAGTAAAATGAGTTGCATCTGGTGGGATAGAAGCCAGAATCTTTGAGAGAGGCAAGTTTTGATTCTGTCCACCTATGATTTGCCTCTTCCCACCACTGCATGAAACAATCAACCTCTCCTTTTGCTAATTTAGTTTTAGGTTGGCTGAGTTTGTCTTTTAAGACGTCTACTCGGTCTTTGTCCCAAGATCCTAACAGTGGCCACTGAATTTTGGGATTCTCCTGAGTTAGCCTTTTGCATTCCCATACACCTCTTTCCCCCCCGCCCCTCCCAGGTCAGCCTTGTGAAGCCATCCCCCACACATGTCATGAGGTTTTCTGTTCATTAAAACACAAAAATGCTAGCAACAAGACAAACACCACAGACAAACAACACAAAACCTAGATCCATGGTATTTTGAGTTTTTCTTCTGCTGGTGCCAGCTTGCTTGTAAAGTCTAAAAACAAAAGAAACAATTTCCACCCCCCCTGGTGGGGACAGATTATTGCTTAATAATAATACCACTTTCTTTTACAAATTTCCTTGCTAATTGCAGGAAAAACAGAAGAATTACCTCCAGACTGTACTTATTTTGTTCTATAGTCAGGCTAGTGAATTACCCCACTCACTGATCATCTATGAAATTCATGAGGTGGTATACCTCAGTTTCCCCTCTTGTGCAACAGACCATGATTGCAATAGTTTCTCTGCTGTACCAAGCTATAAGTTTATTCTCAGGTAATAGCTGAGACACAGCTTCAGACTTTAGCACTATACACACACACAAAATTCTCTTTTGTCTAACATTCCTTGCACTGTGATTACTCTTTTACACAACTGTACCCCGATTACACTTCCATCTTGTACAACTAGACACAACCAGGAGCAGCCAAGTTAAGTTCCAATAGAAACCCCTTACATCCTTTAGTGATTTTGATTACATTACGCAATAGTCAAACAATTTTGATCAGATTCTCTCTCTGCCTGCTGCAGTCCCTTATAGACCATTTCTGTGGGAAAAGGGCCCATTTTCCCTCAGAATAGCTGTAAAGGCTTCTGGGGACAGAAGCGTAGTGGTGGTAGTAGCCACTCTACCTGACCCCCTTAGCCTAGACCATTTTTCCAGAAATTTACAGGAGTCCGGACTCTTCCTAAAATACATAAACTGAGCCGGCGTTCCTTTAGGGAACTGTCCCGACTTAGAAGTCTGGTTACCCATACAGGAGGACTTTACACACCAATCACACAAGAAGGAAAGTCGGGTTCGTCAGAGCGATGCCCGGTGCAACACACAAAAGGAGCCCACAGGCTACTGCCTCAATCGCCCTTGCTTTCACACCAAGGGTTTTACCCAAGGCGCAGTGCGGCTGCGATTGTGCATATTTCACTCACTCAGACCGTGGGGACAGGAACCTTTTGGTCAGCCGATCCCCGGACGGAGACAGCGCCCAGACTCAAACACAGCACAGGGAGGACGGATAGACACAGAGACAAGACAGTCCTCAGTCTGGTCAAAACACAGAAATAATTACCTGACCAGATTCCTGATGTCGGATCCCTACCAGAACAGAGTAGGAACCAACAGGTTCGATGGCGTAGACTTCACTGTGGTCATGCACCCTTCCGTTCTGGCGGAGGACCGCTCGGGCCAAATGCCCAGGTGCCGGCTTGCCACAGCCGTCCTAAGAACAGTCAGGAGTCACACGGCCCCAGTGAAGATGGTTGCCATCTCGGTGGAACCTCCAAATTGTCAAAGTCAGATTCAGGACTCACATAATTTGTCAGACCACTCTGTTTATTAGCAAAGTGCTTTGCTAATGCACCCAGATGTGAGCCCCTCTCTGAGGCTCAAGATAGCTTATTTATACAGCTAAGCCAAAGCCAATTTAACATAAGAGACAAAAGAAAGCAGAAACTGACAAATATACATACATATCTTATTTGCATACTAACGTTTACCAATCTCCTAGCTCAGTAGGAGCTCTAAGTTAATTAGTTTGAGGACCCATTGTCTCACACTCCTTAATGTTTCTCTTCCTGACAACTATATTTCAACAAACCCTTCAAGTAGCATTTCTTTAATGAATTATAATTTCAATATAATTCATTGTACTTTCACACCCCCTAATGGCATGGTGAAGTGACCTCTCTATATCCCTTACCTACCATGCAATAGTGTTGTAATCTATAGTTAGTTAATGATTGTACAGTGTTTTGAAACCCACGGCTGAAAGGTGCTATATTTGTATTACTGTAGCACCTAGCAGCCCCAGTCCTGGACCAGGACCCCACTGTGCTAGGCACCGTACAAACACAGAACAAAAAGACAGTCCCTGCTCCAAATAGCTTATAATCTATACAAGCCCTACGCCCTCTGGAGACTCTCCATACTGGGAGAATCCTCTTTGTGCTATTTGAGCATCCCAAAGGGAGTGGCACCTGGCAGAAAATGTTCCCTCAGCCTCTGGTGATCAGTGCACAGTCTAACACAAGTACAAAAGCTGGTCTGGAGAAGTAACAATTTATTTTTAAAATGAACATTGTTCTGTGTATCACTGCGCCAGAAAATGTTGTCCCTCAATGAGTCCTTCCCTTTTGACTTCAGGGGCAGTACTGGGGGTACAAGGAAAGCCAGATTCCCTTGCTGAACCAAAGGCTGCAGACTCTGCCTTTGCTCTTAGCAAGGCCTCTATCCTGGCATTGTTTTTGTCTTACACCGAACTCTCAGTGATTTTAGTAGGAGTTCTGCATGAGGAATGCTCTCTGGAGATGACCCCGAAAATACAGTTCTGAAGAATATCCTCAAGAGAAATGGAAAAGATGGTCTAGTGAATTGGGTGCTAGTCTGAGACTTGTGGGTTTATTTTCCTGCTCAGTCACAGATTTCTTGTGTGTGCCCTTGGGCATGTCACTTAGGGTCAGATTTTTCCAAAGGCATTTAGGCACCTAAAGATACAGATAAGCACTTAGTGAGATTTTTTTGAAAGCACCTAACCAAGTTAAGTATCTAACTCCTATTGATTTAAATACCTTTTGAGGATCTGGGCCTCTGTGCTTCAGTTCCCCCTCTGTAAAACAGGGATAATATTACTTTCCTACCTCAGAGGCGTTTTGTGAGGACAAATACATTAAAGATTGTGAGGTGCAATCTCACCATGGTAATGCAGGCAGAGCACGCCTTAGCTAGTGCATGGTAGAAATTGTGCTTAATTGTTTGAGGAAGAAAATGTAATATGTTTTGAATTAATATAAACGCAAGCATATCTTACCGTCTATCACTAGTCATTCAGCCTTTCATTGACTTTTTACATTTGCTGCACTGTGTCTTTTGGTTTTTGGTACCACCCTGAGCGAAAGTCATCCCTGAAGTGCTATTTTGAGGGTGTAAGTGGTGCCTAGACCTTGTGATGGCTCTCTGCACCGCATATGCATGTATGTATGTAGTTCTGCTGAATCCTAAGGCAATGATTTAATGAAAGAAAAATCTAAAAGAAAGTCTTTTTTCACAATATATAAGATAAACAAATGTTAAATCCTCAAGTGTGCATGAAGTGAGCTTGGTGTGTCTGAGAGGTGAAGCTGGACATTGTTGGGGGCTTAGTGACACCAACCATGACACATCCTTGCACGGGTGGCTCATCCCCAGCATACGTCAGAGTAGCCATAATACTTTTCTAAGCTACACCAGCAGAAGCAGCTCCCTATGCTAACCCAGGATGGCAAGAGTACACTTCGGCTGTGCCTTGGTGCGCTCCCTGTGCTGGGGCAATGCTCAGATGTCTGTTTAAGGCAGCAGTAAGTCCACTTTGAGTGGCTGGAGGAGGGCAAAGGGGACTTACTGCAGAGCAGAATAGGGCCCTACCTGTATAGCTGAATTTAAAAGAGTTTGTTTTATCTTTCAGGAGACTATGTACATTGAAGAAAACCCCTATAAGAATGATATGATCTCTTTGATTGTCTCTCTGAAAGAAAAGGTTGGGGCTTTGGCTAAAGCTCTGCGCATATTTGAGGTAAATATTTTGCTTTTCTCTGTGTCTTTAAAATATCAGGACTTCCAGTGCTACCCCCCTGTTTTCAAATGATCCTGGGCTGGGGGGTGTTTCTTTTCTGGGGTCTAATTTTCCTTGATTACTTTCAGCTGAGAGATGACTTTTTTAAAAAAAAGCCCCTCAAAACCAACTCTTCAGTCACTTGTGCAAGGGTTAAAAAAAAATCTGAATTTTTCCCATTCTCAAAAAACGATTTAGCGAACAAAATGTACCTGAGAAGTAGTTGCATTTGACTAGCTTGTGGAGTGTGCCTGTGGATGTGTCCCTATATTTCATACCTATGAATGTATAGAGATTATAATCAGGCCTGATTCTTCACTTCCTTGCACCCTGTGTAGTCACTGACACTTGTACAAAGTGAGTGCATACTCTGTGTAAAATGCGATTGGATCAGAATGGCAGCGTTTTACATCCACTTTGCAGAGGTGCTTAGCACTACACAAGATGTGAGGCAGTTGAGAATCAGGCCCAGGATATGGGCTCCTGTGGGAAGAAAGGAGCTGCATTGCTGTTTAAAACGTCATCCATGCACATGCACACACATTTCCCCAAATGTCATGGATAATGTTTAAAAAAAGCCCATGGAATTCGTGACACCTTTGACAGCCTTCGTTGTGACACATAGGGCTGTGAACATAATTCCAAGCAAATCCACTGGTTTCTTAGGTTTTTAGAACTTTAATATTAATCAATTGTTTCTTTGCGCAATTGTTTAGGCAGATTACTGTAATGAACTGCAGACTACATATTTTCTATTAGAAAATTGAATTGACTAGTAAATGAAAGGCATAGTACAAATGGAAACAATGTCCCAGGACATCTTCAATTCATTAAATGGAAGGGGAGTACATAACTATCAGAGCTAGTGTCAGCCTGTGAATTGCAGTATGGCCCTTTGACAGTATTTCCACTTTTTAGCGACATGCACGTCCTGAGGGGTTGTTTACACATACAGTTGTTTCTCATTAACTAACTCCATGTGTGGATATTTACACAGAGATACAGTGACTCTGCGCTGCTCCCAGGTGCCTGTCTCGGCACATTTGCCATGCTCCTATTGATCCCATCCATATTCCTGTCCTGTGGTAAGAATAGGAACAAGAGAATGATCGGCATGATCTTATATGAGCAAAGACTTATGAATCTGGAGGGGGATGAGGCTATACTCAGCACTCTCCCTGTGACACCACCCCCAGCCCCCCGCCCTCTTCCCACCACGGCCATGACCATGGAACACCAGAGAGGCAGAGTCTGGACAGAGGAAATTTGACAGATGGGGGGCATGATGACATTTACACTCAGCCTACCCAGCCCTCACTTTCAATAGGAGTTCAGCCAAAGGAGCAGGTTTTCCATTTTTTTTTTCACCCCTTCCACTGCATGAAGCAGAGGGGATGAAAATGGCTTTAGTGTTCAGGTTAGAAACAGCTTTGTTGGTCACATCTTTTTCACTCAATTGAGGGTGTACAGGGGACATCTTTTTTTCTTACTGGGGGAGCCTGTCTGCAGGCACCATGTCTGGCTTGGTGGTATTCCTTGGGCCCTTCTCAAAGGAGACTGCACATGGAAGAAATCTATGGATTTCTGGTTGTCTATGGGCATGTTTAAGCCTCCTTAATCTGTTTAAAACCATGCCACATTTGTGCATGAAATAGGGGGTGGGGAAAGCCAACACAAAGGCTACAAAATATGGTTCAAATGAAATTGTTCCTTGGAACTGAGCCTGCATTCTATGAATCTGTTGCCTACTAAAGCTAAGCCTAGTCCCCCACAGAGATCTTCATATTGTGGTTCGAGGACCAGTGTGATGCATTTGGAGCTGCTCCGTAATAATTTATGACTATTGTGTGTTGGCCTGGCTATTGGCATGTTTTCTGTGTGGCTATATTGGGTTAAATCAACAGGAGAGAGTGTATGGGGAGGGGGGACGGGGGGAAACAAACAGGAAAGGAAAAGAATAGCTCCTGATAACTCCCAAGAGTTTGTGGAGAGTGATAGCTTTGGCATTGACCCTTCTCTATTAGCTGTGGTAATTTTTGACTCCTCTTCAGCCAGCCTACAAAACTAGTTTGGACCAGGACAGGAAAAGGCCAGCTGTCACAGGCTGACTAGCCCCTTTGAGAGGGAGCAGGGTTCAGTGCATCTCTGATTACTGCTGCTCAGCTGGGCTTAAGGGAAGGCACCTGGGGGCTGTAATACTTTGGTCTAATTTTGGTTGTTGAGGTTAGTGTGTGGGTGCTGGTGGCCTGTGATATACAGAAGGTCAGACTAGATGATCTTGTGGTCCATTCTGGTCTTAAACTTTGATTCACATGGGCCTTATAAAGGGAAAGACACCAGCAAGGAAAGGGCTGCCTTCAGGCATAACATTAAAGAGATTGATTAGGGAGAAAAAGAAGAGTGAACCCGGCAAGAGGTAGCCAGAGTCCTGGGCTAGAGAAACTTGTCTCCAGGCGAGTTCTGAGAAGGCAGCATCTGGGGACAGGTGGCAGGATGTATAATATTAAAAACACAGTTCTTAATATTAATCCTAGAAAGTCATAGAATTGTAGGGCTAGAAGCGCCTGGAGAGATCATCTAGTCCCTTTCCTCTGCACTGAGACAGACAGGACGAAATAAACCTAGACCATTCCAGACAGGTGTTTTGTCTAACCTGTTCTTAACCTCCAATGGTGGAGATTGCACAACCTCCCTTGGTAACCTGTTGCAGTGCTTATCTATCCTTCTGCAGTTTTTCCTAATAGCTAACCTAAGTCTTCCTTGCTACAGATAAAGCTAATTATTTCTTTGCCTGCTTTCAATGGACATGGAGAACTGATCACCATCCTCTTTACAACAGCCCTTAAAATGTTGGAAGATTATCAGATCCCCACTCAAGACAAATAAAACTGGGCACGTTGAAACCTTTCTTCATAGGTCAGGTTTTCTCAACCTTTTATCATTTCTGTTGCTTTCCTCTGGATTCTTTCCAATTCGTTCACATTTTGTAAACTGTGGTGCCCCGAGCTGGAGACAATAGTCCAGCTGAGGCCTCACCAGTGTTGTGTGGAGCAGAAGAACTACCTCCTGTGTTCTACACATGACATACCTGTTAATATACACCTGAACATTAACCTATTTTGCAACTGCTTCACATTGTTGGCTCATATTCAATGTGTGATCCATTATAACTCCCAGATCCTTTTCTGCAGTACAACTAGCTAAGCAGTTATTTCCCATTTTGTAGTTTGTGCATTTGAATTTTTTTCCCCTCCTAAGTGCAGTAATTTACACTTGTCTTTAGTGAATGTCATCTTGTTGATTTCAGACCAATTCTCCCGTTTATCCAGGTTACTTTGGAGTCTAATTCTGTCCTCCTGAAGTGCTTGCAACCCCTCCCAGTTGATGTCATCCACAAATTGTATGAGTATACTCCCTAATGAAAATATTGACTAGTACTGGACCCAGGACAGATCCCTGCAGGACCCAACTAGATATGTCCTCCCAGTTTGACAGCAAACCATTAATAACTATTCTTTGATTATGGTTTTTCAACCAGTTGGGCACCCACTTTACCGTAATTTCATCCAACCACATGTCCCTGGTTTAGAGAAGAAGCTTGTCTCCAGGGAGAGGGAGCACTCAGCATCTGGGGAAAGGTGGCAGGGAACATAATATGCTGAGACAAGACATTTGTCCTCCAGAAGAAGAACCTGGCGAGAGATCACCTGGCCACAAAGGTGGTGGGGGAAGTGGGATATTTAATCATTGAGCAGTATGGTTTAAAACCATTCAAGGAAGAAGAGCCCAGGAATAGATGAACTGGAAGAACTGTAAGGAGAGAGAGAGAGAGAGAGAGAGAGAGAGTGCGCACTATTGTTGCTTGACATAAATAGGGTAAATCTCTCTGTTTTGGGGGGGAATGATAATGTAACCTTTTATTAATAAACAAGGCTGGCATGGGCACAAACACAGGTAAGCCTGTTGTAATTCTTATATGGAGTCTGTAGTTCCATGGCCACCACTTGCCTCTACTTCCCTTTCATTAGGGCCTTTAAGAATTCACAAAGTTGCTAGTCACCTTCTCAGCCCCAAATTCTTTAATTCACTCTCCACCAAGCTGGCAACAAAGCTTGTCAAAAACAAAACAAAGTCCCAAAACAATCCTCAATTCCAGAGCCATGCAATCGCCTCTCTTAGGCTTCCATAGCTTACTGGCAGGCCTCCTACCTCTGGTAGTCTCAGATACTCTCAGTCACACTCTTCCCTTGCCCCTTCCTGCTGCCTTTTATATTTTAATGACCTGATTTCTCTCAGGTGGCATTCATCTTGTAATCATGGCTGGCTTGGTCCCAGGTTTTCTAGCCCACAGGGCAAGCCACCCTGTTACAGAGTCCCTAATGGGGAGGAGAGGAGGAAGGGACACTGCAGAGCCACACTTTGCCAGAAGGATGAATGGCAGGGTAGGCCTGTCCTATTACAGCCACGAGCATAGGATACCAAAAGATCTTTGGCATGTTTAAAAAGGAACATTGTGTCAAGAGAGGGGAAAGTTGTTTGTGGGAACCAGACTGCAACCCAGGCACCCGCTGGAGGTGTCAGAGGAATTAGGCCAGCTTAGGTTACCGGCAGGGGGCAGTAAGCAATTGTGTAACACAAGCATTAGTGTAGATATTTGTTTTAAAATCAGTTTTCTCAAAAAGCTTTGTTCCTACAGTTAAACAAATGACATTTTGGTTTTAAGAAGTTGGCTTAGTCACTATATACCCCACTGGTCACAGAATCCTGAAGGGAAGAGTTGCAGAGGCCGATCCTATTCGAACCTGCTTGGTAAGCATGGTTGATACACAGGGAACTGAAGCCTATGGCCCGGTCTAGGAATGGGAATATTGCAGAATTCCACCCTAGGGGAGGTAAGGGCATGAGGCCGGACACCTGAGGGGGTGCACTCAGAGCAACCCAAAAGGGGATAGAGGTGCAGC